AGGCTGAAAAAAAGACTAAGTCCCATGGCCGAATGGGACTTAGTCTCTGCAGCTGAAATAATTTCCCATTTACTGAACCAAGTGGGAAATAGCAAGGCAGGCACAAAGGGTTTGCACCAGGTCTGGGGACACAGGGGACACCGTCTTAAAGGGGGCGTGTCCCCAACAAGTCTGGGGACACGGCCTTAAAGGGGCAGTGTCCCAATCTTCCTGATGTCCCAAAAAAGGTGTTTAAAGGGCCAGCACCAGTCACATAAAGAGTCCATAAGCCCCAATATGCCCACCGACAGTCTTAAAGGGCCATACACACCAAATAAAAGTGCATACATTTCACAATCTCCCAGGGGCCATAGTCATGCGGGAGGAGGCTGGCAAGTAGGCTTCTCCACAACCCAGGGAAGCAGGGCAATTTGCCATTTAAAGGGCCCGTTACAAATAGCAGTTTGTAACAAGGTGTCAATCCATATCTGCCAAGTGACCCGATGTAGGGGAACAGTCCCTATTCTGCTCTGTGTCAGTGTGTATCAGGGATCTTGAGGACAGGTGTCAATCCATATTGCCAAGTGACCCTATGTAGGGGACCAGTCTCTATTCTGCTCTGTGTCCGTGTGCATCAGGGGCTCTGAGGACAGGTGTCAATCCATATGTCAAGGTGTCAATATGTCATATGTCGGGTGTCAATCCATATTGATTGTGATTTAGGAATGTTAGGTGATTTCTGCCCTTTATGGATTAAAACCAGACTCTGTATCAACTGTGTAATTTTCCATGGGAGTTTTGCCATGGATCCCCCTCCGGCATGCCACAGTCCAGGTGTTAGTCCCCTTGAAACAACTTTTCCATCCCTATTGTGGCCAGAAAGAGTCCCTGTGTGTTTTAAAATTCGCCTCCCCATTGAAGTCAATGGCGTTTCGGGCGGTTCGCCGGTTCGCGAACATTTGCGGAAGTTCGCGTTCGCCATTCGCGAACCGAAAATTTCGGGTTCGCGACATCACTAAGTATGAAACTAGTCTCATATAATGTAAATGGCTTGAACTCCCCAGGCAAGCGCAGACTCCTTCTTAGGGACCTTACAAACAATGGTATAGACGTAGCTTGCATACAGGAGACCCATTTCAAGCGTAACCACTCCCCAGCTATCTTTACTAAACAATTCCCCATGCAAGTTCACTCCCTATCTGCCACAAAATCTAAGGGAGTATCGATTTTTATCCACAAAGACGTAGCCTATACTCCACAACGACACTATCTTGACCCAGGGGGGAGGTATGTCATACTGGTGGGCCGATTCAATGATGCACAACTGACGCTGGTGGCAGCGTACCTTCCCAACGACCACCCACGCCACTTCCTATCTTCCCTCCTGCGAAAAATTGAAGAATACAGGACAGGGGACCTGATACTATGCGGGGACTTTAACTGCATTCAGTCACCAGGGCTAGACACTACTGCAATCCCCACAGGCACAAACAAACGGAGAATTGACACGTCATGTAAAGCACTCTCCAAACTACTTGACCAATACGACTTATACGACGCCTGGAGGACCATGCACCCGACAGACAGAGATTACACCTTCCACTCCCGAGTTCACAACACATACACACGCATAGACACCTTTTTCTTGCACAGGACTCTCCTGCCACAACTCACGCAGTGCACCATAGGGGAAATAGCCTGGTCAGACCACAGTCCTGTCTACCTAAACCTACTAGACACGTTCCAATTTCGGGGCCGGGGGTCCTGGCACCTAAATGACTTGCTGCTGTCCAATGCATCCTTTGCGGAAGATATTAGAGCAGAACTCCAAGAATACTTCGCGCTGAACGCGACAGGCGAAGTCTCAGACTTTACGGTTTGGTCAGCGCATAAAGCAGTAGTACGGGGGCTTTTCTTGAGACGAGCTGCCTTCTTAAAGAAGCAAAATACGTCCGGCCTCCTTGATTGCCATAGGCAAATAGCTATAATCTCTAGGCAGAATAAAAATAAGCCTACCCCAGACCTTGCAGAACAGCTCAGAGTGCTCTACGCACGACTGAAAGAGCTCAATGCAGAGAAAACCAAGCGCATGCTCCACAAACTGAGGGCTAATGTATATCATAATAGCGGGAAAGCAACTAAATACCTAGCCGCCAGAGTACGTAATAAATACTCTAGCGCTAAGATAGCCCATGTGATGGGAGGTGACGGACTAAAAAAAATTACCCCCACGGATATTAGCCAAGAATTCGCTCATTTCTATTCTAAACTTTACAATTTAAAAGAGGAGGGCAGCACCCACAATGCTAGGGCAGAAGACATAGCCCATTTTTTAACCCAAGCCAACCTCCCCCAAATAACGAGCGCACAGGCAGAAGAGCTACTCAAACCCATTGAGCTCACAGAGTTGCTTGATATAATTGCCAAATTACCACAAGGGAAGTCACCAGGAGCAGATGGGCTTCCTAACGCCTACTATAAAAAATTTGCGCATGTCCTGGGCCCTCACCTGCTGAAAGTGTACCGTAAGGCAACTGTCACGGG